AATTACACATAATTACTAGCAGCAAAATACTACTTAATAGATAATTTTAATCATACATATCAATGCTTTAAAATTCTAGACATATACTATTACTAAAATCAACATGAAAAGTCTTACGGTAGGTCCCCTCCACTACGAAGCCTTCTGAAGGAAGTTGCGTAACTTTATTTTTATACTTTATAATTCCGTGGCTTGAGAATTTCCCATCAAATATCTGTAGTTAGCAGAGTATAGAAACAAACTGTGCTAATCAGCCTCTAAAATGGCTCGCAATGACCCCAACATCCTCACATCCATACCTTGTCTAACAGCCTCCCCTTGAGTATCAGCCTTCTAACAAAAACAGAATTTGGCCAAAGAGTAAAGGGATTCCAATTCCAAGATTAGCTTACAAAAAGACTTTAACTCCCATGTTGTTGCCCTTCTCTTGCTCTCTCTCTCTGAACTCCCTCCCACTCTCTCTAAGGGAAGCCCACTGTCACATGACAAGCTGCCCTATGGAGAGAGCCACGGGGCAGTTAACTGTTAACTCCAACCAAGAACCAGTGAAGACCTGTGGAGCCAAGAGGCACATGAGTAGGCTCCGAAGTAGATCCACCATGCATCAGGACTTAAGAGGGCACAATACCAGCTGACATTTTAAGAGCAGCTTAATTAAAACCCACAGCCAGAAGACCCTGCTAAGCTACCCCTAGATTTCGGACCCAAAGAAACTGTGAGATGATAAACGTACATTGTTGTAAGCCACCAAATTTGGGGAGTGGGTAGGGGGAATTTGTTACATAGCAAAAGATACTACCTAAGTTAAAATCTTAACTTAAAACTTTCAGTAAAAATATACATGCATTTATTCCTTTGGAAACAGTACTCCAACGTAATTCAAAACTTACTGATCCTATTTTAAAATGTATTTTCTAGTAGGTTTTCCTAATCCTACTTTTGCCTACTTTCATAGTGACTCTCCTTGTTTCAGACACATATATCTGTGCTGTTAACTAAGTTTTCTAAGAAGTATACAGACATATGATGACAGAGGTACTTTTCAGGAAGAATAGCTAAATGTAAGAAAAACTGACATACCAGGTACAACCAGCTTTTTTTATATAAATTGGTTTTAAAGTTAATTATAAAAATCAAACAACTGATAAGAACATAAATTCTAAAATTATTTATTCCAAATGACATCAGTAAAAGGTAAGCATGGATATAAAAAGGAAGAAAAATTAGGGGAAAAAAGGATTAAAAAAAATTTTTTTTAAAGAGGAAAAGTAAAACCAAAGTTCGTGCACACTGAAAACTGTAATAAAGGTTTCAGTCACAAAGCAGGCAATAACAATGTGAATTCTCATTGCTTCCTACGCTGTGTTCAAGGCAACAAAACCATTTATTTCTTATTTAAAAAAAGTATTTCTTAATCAAATACCTACACTTTCCAAAATATCTTCAATATTGGCAGAAGAGATAAACTTGACTGTAATCAAAAACTCAATCTAAACAGGTCACAGAATGAGCGTACATTGACATCTAATCTTTTTGACCTTGGGCCAGAAGACAATGACCTGGAGAGCAAAAGCTTTTCATCCTGTTCCTAATCTATAACACTCATGTCCTCTATTTTCAATTTGAGAACAGCTCCAAAAAACTGCCAGATACTTACTCTCTTACTTGTTCAAGTATTGCATATAGTATATACTTTAATTGTTACCTTCCCAATGAGGCCTGCCGAGACCACCCTATTTAAAATTGCAGCTACCTATCATCTATCTGTCCTCATCCCCCTTTTTCCTGCTTATTTCGTTTTTTGTTTAGTCTGCCTTTTTCACAAGCATCCAACAAAATGTCCACTTAAGGGCTTGAAAATTATGCGAGATTCTGTTCTGTGAGAAAGCGTTTACTCATACGACCAAAAACAAAAAACAAAAGCAGAAGCACTAAAGAGAAAAAAATTAAGTTTTCAAGTAGCATTTTCAAATGCTAAATATTTTTCTAAATTTTAAAAAAGTTAACATTTTAAACCAAAATCACAAGAAATTAAGTATTTTAATTTTTTTGACTAAGGTTTCCTATTAAACTCATTAAGTTTCCTAATGATGACTGCTAGAAACCCATACTGATATTACCATTTACTTATTTAGGAAAGAGACACTTCAACAAGAAATATAAATCAAGATGTAGCTATGCTGATCAGGAGGCACCGAAATAGTCCAAGAACCACGGAACTAACAACTCATTCCTTAAAGCCTACAACACACACCAGTCTCTAGATCAGTGCTTCCAATACAAGTTAATTTTTCTACACATGTGATGTTAAGTTTTCAAAGAAGTTACATTAAAAAGCGAAAAGAAACACATGGTGTTAGTTTTATATTACATTTTATGTAATCCGATATGCCCATAATATTATCATTTCCAACAGGTAATCAATATTTTAAAGTTTAAGTGTTTTACATTATTTTTCTCATATTCAAAATTTGAAGCGCATTTTACACTTATAACACATCTCAATTTTAAGTGCCCAACAGCCAAGGGCAGCTAGTAGCTACCACACTGGACTGTGGTTCTGTAGGTGCTAACAAAATGTAGGGGCATACCTTATTTGCTTTTGAATATTAATCTTAGAAGAAATACCAAGAGAAGAATAACATCTGTTTCTAAACATTAAAGCTCACCTGTCATACAGAGTTCTAAGGTCTTTTAACATAAGCTTTACATTTTAACATAAAGTTTTTAGTTCTAACCTTTATTACAAAGTGTTTGGGAATTCCACTGAAATTTAAAAGACTCAAGATGAATTCCACTGAATTATAAATTATTTAGCTATGCATGCTTACTTTGTTTGGCACAGTGATAAATGATAACACTTCACACATTTGAGCATTTAATATCTGATGATGAGGTTAAAAAGATTAAAATAACTTGTAATTCGAGGAAATATTATGCAATCAGATACATTTAAATAGGCTGTCAGATACCTGCATAAGCTTACTTAATCCCTCTCTGTCTATATATTATATGCAAGTTTAACAGATCTTTCCTGGGAGGGTATTTTTAATGACTGAAAAAGGTGAATTTTGGCTATTCTTTTCAGATTTAAATGTTTCTGTAATTGTGATATAATAAGAAATATATTTGGTCTTTGTCCTTGGTTCCTGGCACAGAGCTCTTAATTAAAACTCTTGGAATTTCCTGAGTGATATGAATGTATTTTGCCCCTTTTAATCACACCTGAATTCATGCTGAGAGAGGACTTAGAATGGGGCCTCTAGATCACCTTGGAATGGGACTGGTCAGCAGAAAGACCAGGCGATTAGAGGGATGGGATTTTCAGTCCTGACCACTGAGGAAACTGAACTCTACAAAAACAGAGAAATCTGTTCCATGCCTTTCTCTTAGCTTCTGGAGTCACCAGCAATCCTTGCCATTCCTTGACTTATGGCTCCACATCTCCAGTCTCTTCCTCCATTGTCATAGGGTCTTTTCCCCAGTGTCTATGTTACCATGTGGTGCTCTCCTCTCTTATACAGATACCAGTCATATTGGACTAAGGGCCCACACTACTCCAGTATATCCTTGTCATAACTAATTATATCTGAAATTACCCTACTTCCAAATAAGGTCACATTCTGAGGTACTGGAAGTTAAGACTTCAAAATGTGTTTTTTTGTGGGGGACACATTTCAACCCATAACTTGGGGCCTTTACAAAAAAAAGTCCACCAACACCTGATTTGGAAGAATTAAAACTAAGGAGAAGTAGGTCCAGAAGGGCCACCGAACAGTGAGGGATTTCAAAGAGGAGAGCTAGGATTTTGTTTTAGACAAACTAACTTCAAAGCAAAAGAGCGAGCCCTCAAAAGATGTCAGGCAGAAAGCAATATATGTAGGTTAGGAATCGACATTGGCTTAGAGATGGAGGAATCAAGTGTAGCCTATAAAAGGATGAGCATTCGCAAGGTAAATGTGTTACAGAGCAAGTCAAGAATTAATCTTTAGAGAATGTTACTATTAGGTAACAATGTGATTAGAGAATGTCACTGTTATATAACATTAGATGATAATGTAGAAAAAAATGTTATTTAGTATCATATAAACTAAAAAGGAAGCATTTCAATCATGACAAATATAAGAAAGAGATTGAAGAGGCCTGAAAAACAACCAGGGGACTTGGCTAGAGTAAGACTCCAACCAAATAAACAACTTCTATGGAGAAACTAAGAGGGACACCAGAGGGATGCCAGGAGGAAGATGATAATGCTTAAGAAATAAAACATGATTTATTTGTACAGTGGGTACAGTAGATCATTACATAGGTGACCCCCAATAAACCACATCTCCTGCCATTCATGCCCTTATATAATCCTCTCCCACACAGACTGTGAGCTTAGCCAAATAACTTGCTTTAAGCCAATCTGATATTAACAGGCACCGGCAAGGCAAGCAACAGGCATGATAAGCACTTTCACACAGAAACTTGTTTTCTTAGAACACTGTCCCCTGGAAGCCAGCTGCCATGCTGTAAGGAAGCCTGAGCTAGATTCTGAATGATGAGAGCCCGTGTGGAGAGCGACTGCAAAGGCTAAGAGGTCATCATTTCAGCCCCAGCAGAGCTCCCCGCTGAATGCAACCACGGTGACCTCAGCCCATACCGAAGGGAACAGAAAACGTACCCAGCTGAGCCCAGTCAACCCAGAGGATCAGGAGAAATGATAAACTGTTGTCCTAAGCCACTAAGCTTTGTGGTGGTTTGTAAAGCAGCAACAGATAAATACTGACATAGTCAGAACAGGATGTATGTTTGAGAAATGCAAGAATATGAGACTGAGGATTCTTATAAAACTGGGAAGACTTGTATATGTGCATGAGGAAAAAAGAAAAAAGGTGTAAATACAGAGGGAAAATTAGAATGCAAAGAGAAAAAGTAAAGATACTGAAGATGAAGCTGAGTCACATGATGAATAATGGGAAAACTTAAGAGAATAATAGGGAAAGCTTTCCACCTACTTCATCGCTTTCATCTACTTCAATTCCACCATCTTTGTCATCATCCATTTGTTTATGTATTGTTTGAAGAGCTTCCAGACTGTATCTATCTTCTTCTGTGAAGCATGGTGGGCTCAGTGATAGGCAGGGATCTGAAAGAGAATAAAGGGCAATCATTAACTCACCATACCAAAACACAGGCTATATAGTTAAGAGAATATACTTTAAAAGAAAAACAACATATTAAATTTCAGACTAAGTCATACCAACAGGTTTTTAAAAGTCTAGTAGAGTCATCGAAAGTATAATATATGAACACAACTCACTAAAAATATATAATTCAATTTAATGGATATTAGGCAACTACCACCAGGAGTAACTCCAATACTGACTTCAGGTTGTCTATATTCTTCCACATCCTGAACCACTTTCTTCTTATCCAACCATTATATTTACTAATTATTCCCCCCAAAACATAGAACCCTTCCTTAAAAAAAAAAAGAAAAAAAAAACTAAAAAAATCACAGAATACAAGGTGCTATTTCTGAAGAATCAGTTTAATTAAAATGTGAATCCAAGAAAATATAGCACAGAATACAAGAAAAGGGTATACAGAAGAGTCACATGATACTTAGAAACTTTTTTTTCACTTTTCTATTTAAGAATCAGAGTCCACCCATATGAATACCTTTTAAAATAACATCACTTCCTAAATTTAACAAGGAAAAACTGGGGGAAAAAAAGACTGAATTTTTTAAAAATCTTATTCCTCATGTTTTCTTTAATATATATTTATTGGTTAAAGCTCTTCCTATGGAAAATGGGAATCTAACAATCTAACAACTTAGAGACCATTTAAGGCTTTTCAAAGCTTAAAATCGATTAGTAAAAGTTACTCGTTGACTCGAACAGTAAACAGCCCATACACCAAAATGAAAACCTACTGCCAAAACTTCATTCACACCCAATCTGGCAAACTGGCAGACTGACAAAGTCCAAGGACTTACTTCTACTGTTTTGCCAGGTCACTAAAATACCCTTTTAAAATATCATCAGATCCATATATATTTCTAGAATTAGAAAGGGCCTAAAAGTTTAAAGTGGTTACTAGCGTAATAGAAGGGTTAGCCACAGTTTGGTCTTCTCAACTATAGTTAAAAATCTAGTTTATCTTTCTGGCCTTTTATAAATCAACTGTCTGATTTTGTACAAATAACTTGTCCTTGTGTCTTAATTACCACACCTGTAAAATAAAGTAGTCTAGATGTTTACTAAGATCTACTGCAGCTATAATGGCCTAAGAAATAATCTGATTCTGTGCTTAGGAAAAAAACTGCAAGAAGCCACTACTAGAAACCAATTAATAATTGGGGGGGGGGGGTAAAAGAATAATGCAAATCTGTATTACACGCATGTTCCAGTTGTAACTCATTTGGAGGAGTTAACATTTTTAATAGTTTTAATTCAAAATCTAATTTTAATTTCTTTAGTCTTGGAAGAGAAGCAAACAGAAAAGGAAACTTTAAAAAAGGGGAACCGAAATCCTAAGGTATGTGACGTGTGTGTGTGTGTGTGTGTGTGTGTGTGTGTGTGTGTGTTTTAAAACTCTGATCAAGGTTTGCTAAAATCTAAGAACTTGCAGGCACAATGGTCAATTATGATCCCTACTTCACAAAACAACCAGAACCCTGATATGCCTATAAGTTCAAACTCATCTGTACTTATTTTGAATGGATGTGAAGTAAAAGATAAGCAACCAGGTATCCTCCCATATGGAATAAACGGGATCTGAAAACAATGTGTTACTGCCTCCAGCAGACCTATTTTTTTTTTACATATTTTATTTTGCTAATAAATATATGAAGAGAAAGTGTTATTGCAACGAGTATACAAGGATTAGCTGCATCACTCACTGATTAAATAGGCTTTGTTGTCAACTCTGTCAAACTCTAAAAGAAGTGAGTGATGAGGACTCTAAAAACCTTATAAAGCTTTAAAAGAAAATTAGGAGGAACATATGATCTGAAAAAAATTCATGTAAAAATAAAATTGGTATTTTTTTACTTAAATTAACTTATTTAATAAAACACTACCTTTCAAGGTCTGTTTTAGGGTGTAACTTCTCCAGGAAGTGTTTCTGTATTATATCTGTACTATCTTCTAGGGATTAGTTCCTTCCCTGAACACTATTTCCATCCATTCAACAAATGTCTATTAAGTACCTACCATGTGTCAGGCACTGGAAATACCGTAGTGAAAAAAGAAGGAAAAATTCCTCATGAGGGGCGCCTGGGTGGCTCAGTCGTTAAGCATCTGCCTTCGGCTCAGGTCATGATCCCAGGGTCCTGGGGTGGAGCCCCGCATCGGGCTCCCTGCTCCGCGGGAAGCCTGCCTCTCCCTCTCCCACTCCCCCTGCTTGTGTTCCCTCTCTCGCTCTGTCTCTCTCTGTCAAGTAAATAAATAAAATCTTAAAAAAAAAATTTCCTCATGAAACTTGCAGCATAGTGGGGACGGTGAGTGTAACAAGATAAAAAAGTAAATGACAGAGCATGTTAGCAGTGGTAAGTATTAAGGAAAAGAATAAAGAACAGATATGAAATGCCAAGGAATTTGAAATTTGATTATATTTTATTCTCAAATCATTCAACCTAAGTCCTCATTTGATGTTGTACTTTATTAATCTCTAACTGCTTCATGGGTCATTTTGCCCACACAACTGAGCTTATGAACAAGGCAGAAACCATGTTCTATTTCTCACAATCATAATACCCAGGACTTAGCTAGGCAATTTTGTGTCTCTGATAAATTCTATTACTTCATATGCTAACTAAATCATAAACTTCTAGGCTTCTATACTGTGCAAACCAGTCACAGGCATGAGGAATTAAAGGCCTAATAAGTATCCTGTACTCAAAGAAAGCTCACAGCCTAGTGAGAAGGGAAGCATGTGGACTACTACATTAGCTTAGGGACCACTGAAAACACTACTTGTAGGGTACAAGGAGAGCATGGAGGAAGGGCACCAATACAGACTGGGAAAGAAAAGTCAGATGTTTTCTAGAGGTAATCTTGAGAATTTTTAAATGACCTATAATTGATGACTATAGGAAAGGAGAGAAATGCATGCCTGGAAAAAGAAACATCGTATGTTCAGTGGCATGAAAAGAAAACGAACATTCAGAGAAATGCCACTAGTTAATATGTGTGGAATACAGAAAATATACGAGAAAAAAAGAGATCAGGTTAAGAGATTGGAAAGAAGAGGCCAGATCTCTAAGAGTCGTTTTCCAAATGAAGGAATTTAGATTTTTATCCTGAAAACCATGAGAAGCGCACAGGGGATTTTCAAGGAGACGCCTAACACAATCAGATTCATTACAGAAAGATCATTCTGGTGACAGTGGAAAATAGACGGAATGGAGGCAAGGCTGGGAGGCACAGCTGTCAGGAAGTGCTACTGTAATCCTAGCAGCCTGCAATACTCCATGCATCCAAGGAATGGAGGAGGGAAATGATGAACATTGCTCTAGGCTTTGGTGTTTTGCCAAGCTGGAGCAGCAGAAGGAAAGACAGGAGTTGAGGATATAGCAAGAGTGATCCATTTCCCCACATAAAATTTTATCTCCCTTTGGCGCAGTGACTTAAGGACTAGAAATCTAACTTAGAATAGTTGAGAATTCTGAACCCCATTACCTGTTCTAAAGTCTTTTTCATTTCTTTCTCAATTGTTTCCCTTCGAGGTTAATTCAGCACAAATGATCATTTTAACTCAAATTAGGTGACCTAAATTTCTTTTCAAATACACAAACTGTTACCAAAGATCTGTGCATATAATGAATCTGGTATAAGGGTTTCAAAGACAACTGCTAAAATGCCAAAATGGTTCTCCTTTGCCAACATCTCATTGACATCTATGTTAGCTATCCAAAATGCACCAGCGCGTTATCATGTACTCCATAGCCAGAAACATGTTTCTTAGATATCGAAACAGAATTCATTTGTTCAATTAAACATGATATGGAGTGCCTGTAATGTGTCAGACCCTGTTCTTGGTGCTGGACATCCACATGACAATTAAGACAAATTTCCTCTGCTCGGTGCCCTCACTTTGTATTAAATGCAGTATGATGTGATAAATCTTTTTAGCATTATACCCTGAGCATTCCTTTCTTTTCTCTGAATCAAGAACAGCACTTTCTACTGAGGAAAAAGAAATCAGCTGAAACAGAATAAAACTTAAGTCAGCAACCAACACCACTGTTAAATTTCAACTTGTTCTCCTCTACTCAAAGCCAAACAAATGCTCAGTCTGATTCTGCAGAAATAAAGCTGAATGAATTAAAATGACTTCACCCAGGGAAGCCTGTGTGGCTTAGTCAGTTAAGTGTCCAACTCTTGATGTCAGCTCAGGTCATGATCTCAGGGTCATGAAATCAAGCCCCACAATGGGCTCTGTGCTCCACGTGGAGTCTGCTTGAGATTCTCTCTCCCTCTTGCCCCTCCCCGCTCTCTAAAATAAATGAAATCTTTAAAAATTTTTAAATAATTTCACCTAATAAGAAACATCTATTACATTCTAGAAACCAATGCTATTTTCTGTATATAACTTAATCCCTACAACCCGGTGTCAGACACATATTTTCTCCATTTTTCAGATGAGGAATGGAGATTCATGTGTAACTTGCTCAAGATCACATCCCCAGAAATGGCAGAGCTAGGATTCAAATGAAGTCTTCAGGACTCCAATCCATGCTCCAATGTCAATATAATGAATGTAAATGGGTCAGTGTCCCCAACATGAGAGGAGAATAAAGTACTGTTACCACAGATACTGCCAGGACCTGAGGAGCTGAGAACACCAAGAAGCATAAATGTATCCCACAGAAGGGGATCACTAGACAGTCCATGAATGATACTGAGAATCTAGAATATAAACCTACACTTCCTACATTACCTTTCTTTTTCATAACATCTTCACCTCAATTCACACTCCCCGTGAACAAACCTTGATAGTAAGTTTATTACCACAGTGACTGATATATTTGTTGAATGATTTAAATATACATAAATATTAGAAGCCAAATAAATGAACTTCTGAATACAAGTTATTTATCTAGCAAATATATAGATGCCAGACTCTAGGTTAGAAGCC